CTAACCTCTTCTCCATCTCAACTGCCATGACCAAGCCCAAGCAACCATCATCTCTTGCCTTCTAAATGATATCACCTCATATTTTCTAACTCTCCTGCAATCCTACAACAATCCCCTGCAAACACAACTACCACAATAAACTTTCTGAGTATGTCATATCTCTGCTTAAGAGTCTTTAATGTATCTCTGGAAGGAATCTGTCTAGAGTCCAAAATCCTTACATGGACCTTTACAATATGACCCCTGACTACTTCTCCCATCTTCTCTCTCATCACTCAAACACCTTCCTTCATCAAATGTTCTAGCACTTTGGCAGATGTTCCAATAAGACCCTGTATACACTTCATAATACTTAGCACATATGCTGCAACTGTTTATTTCTGTCTCACACAATGTATAGTAAACTCCTTGAGAGAAACTGTGTCTTATTCACTGTTGTATCCCAAAAATCTATCACAGTATCTGGAACACTACAGGCTTTGAACAAGTATTTGTTGAAGAACAATTGAATAAAGAGGTATGAAAAAGGCATAATGTGCTTACAGAGCTATTAATTAGCTTATTAGTGCTGAATTGATGGACGATAAAGCTAAAGCAACAGGCAAGCCTAGATCATGGAGTGCCTTGAATGCCATTCAGAGAAAAATAAACTTTATCACATTAGGAATAAGTCAGTAAAGGGTCTTTAAGCCATGTCATCAGATTTACATTTTAGAAAGATCAATATAGTGATTAAAGTAGACTTGGAGTAAGGAAACTGACAAGAAAGCAATTGCAATAGTCAATAGATGAAGGCATATACAAAAAAATAGAAGTGGGAACAATAAAGACAGAATATAGCCAAATGAGATTTTAGAAGGCAGAATCAATAGAATTTGGTAATCACTGAATGTGAGGTAAGGAATAGGAAAGGAAAAAAAGAAATCCACTGATTCTGAGTTAGGAATCTGGGAATAGAGTAGAGCTATCTAGCTTTTAAGAAGTTAAGCTGAGAGAAAGATAAAGACTACAGCGACATGCCCAGCCGGCGTGACTCAGTGGTTGAGTATCGACCTACAAACCAGGAGGTCATGGTTCGATTCCCAGTCAGGGCACATGTCCAGGTTTCAGGCTCAATCCCCAGTAGGGGGCATGCAGGAGGCAGCCAATCAATGATTCTCATCATTAATGTTTCTTTCTCTTCCTCTCCCTTCTTCTCTGAAATCAATAAAAATATTTACAAAAAAAAAAAAAAAGACTACAGCTACAGGAAAATACAAGGTCAAGGAAAGAAATTTCAAATAGCAGACTTTGGTGTACTTCTTAACTGAAAAGAAGGGACAGACCAGGCAAAAAAAACTAAAGATACAGAAGAAAAAGAGGTTAATTACTGATAAACCAAAGCCCCTGTGGAAAAGGGGAGAAAGGAATACTACAGCATAAAAAGAAAGATTATTCCTGAACAGAAGAAGAAATACTACCTCAAAGAGTAGAAAAGAAAGGATTGGTTGGGATGCAAAGTCATTTATCAAGGAATATTAAAGCAAGGCAGGAAGCTAAAGTAGTATGTGACAGAGAACCACTGTTTTTGGTGAGAGGAAGAGACAGTTTAATGAGGGGAAAGGGATCTTGGGACTTAAGTGGGATAGGGGAGGCAAAGGTTTGGAATAGCTGCTGAGGAAACCAGGAGAGAAGACTGATTAAAGATAGGTAAATGAAGTGATAAGTGGTATCTACAGTCCATGACTTTAGTCCAGCAATTTTCAACCTTTTCCTCTTATAGCACACAGAAACTAATTACTAAAATTCTGAGGCACACCAAAAAATATATTGTGTTGTTTTTGCCAATCTGACCAAAAAAAAAATAGTTATAATTTTGATTCACTCATACCAGATGGCTATTGTTGTGTTGGCTGCTGTCACTTTTTTATTTGATAATCTAAGGGAAAAGAGGTGCCCTGACTAAAATTCTCATGGCATACCAGTTGAAATTCACTGCTCTAGTCTAAGGCACTATTATAGAAAACCACAAATTTATGGAGATGCCAATTTACTTAGTTTTATTACTTTTCTAGCAGGGCTAGTTGCCTAGGTGTATGATCAAAGGAGGCAGATTAAACAACAGGTATTAAGAGTAGAATGGGCAAAGTATAAGTAAGTGAGGCTAGGTAAGAGCTAATGCACCAGGAAAAATGCACAAGGGTTAAAGGACTAGAGATCTTGATGCCAGATGCAAAACATACTAATATGAGTGAAAATAAGAGAATTTGAAAAATAATCAAATGATATAGTGGGATAATAAAGCTTAATATTAATAAAGCTTAATATTTCAGAACTAGAGTAGCAAAGTCTAAAATTACAGCCATGTCCTGGCCTGTGTGGCTCAATGGTTGAGTGTCAACCTATGAACCAGGAGGTCATGGTTCAATTTCCAGTCAGTGCACATGCCCAGGTTGTAGGGGGTGTGCAGGAGGCAGCCAATCGATGATTCTCATCATTGGTGTTTCTCCCTCTCCCTTCCTTTCTAAAATTAATAAAAACATTTTTAGGGTGGAGGAGGAGTCGGGGGCTCGGACATCTTCCTGGGAGAATCGAAGATGGCGGCATAGGTAAACACCGGAGACTGCTGCCACAAACAACCACTTCAAAAATACAACTAAAAGACTGAACGGACATCAACCAGAACCACAGGAAGGCTGGCTGAGGAGAGACTCTTCAACTAGAAGCAAAGACAACAGCATTACGAGGCTCAGAGGAGGCGCAGTGTGGAAAATTTAAAGGTACGGAGGTGCGCGCGCAAAGCGGGCTGGTGGCTGAGGGCGTGGTTGTAGTTTTCAATCAGGAGGGAGTCTCAGACTCTGAGCTCCAGATCCGGGCGAGTCTCTAGGGACCCAGACTCAAACGGGAGAAGCGGGACTGTCTGGCTATGGTCCCTCCGAGGTTTGCAGTGGTTGCTGGGACAGAGAGGCAGAGCCCCTGGGGACGGACTGAGAGCAGCTATAACTGCTCCCTCCGCCCGCCCTGTTGAGCCCGCCCCACCCAAGCCCTGCACAGAGCCATTTGCCGGATCGCCTCAGGCAAAGGCTAGATTAGCACCTCCCCAGAGGACAGAAATTTTCCACACAGCTGATTCTCACAGCCAGTCGGCCTGGTGGTCAAATCCCTCTAGTATTAACTA